AATGTAATTTTGAAAAAAAAGGTTTCAGGTAATTTTCTCTTAGAAAAATCCAACTTCTGGTAAAATTTAAAATTAGTATGGGATTGATAGAGTCCAAAAAGTAGTCAAAGAAATCCAAAAAGAAGATCAATGTTTGAACTTGAAGAAGTTGAAATCGAGTAGGATGCAACTTCACTAGTCGTCGTTGAGCCGGCGCTCGAACGATCGAAACATAATCACTGTCGTTTGCCTAGCACTAGACTGGCACTAGCACTAGCACTAGAGAAACGGGTCGATATCTAGAATCCTATTTACTTTAAAACACGTGATTTTCATTTCTATTTCAACCCAAACACTTTCCTTCCTACCATATAAACATTTAAGGCTGTGTTTGATAGGCAATCTTTTCCATGGAAGATGGAAAATTTTCACAATTTTCCAACTTTTTTGCTATTTAATAGAGTATATTTTCCAAGCAAAACATTTTTCATTTTAACATCATGTGACCAGCTTCTCCACAAAATCCTTGAATTGGTTTTCTCATGTTTCATCAGATTTTTTATTTTCTTGGCAAGTAGGAATTGCAATCAAAATCATCAACTCCACCGGCACCTTCAACTCCAAATTCATCCACCCTGCCGCCGGACAAATCATCGGATTTCCACACCGTCAACAAGTCATCCCACTCTTCAATTCTATACCAAAAATTATACATAACAGCTCCAAAATCAGACAAAATTTGGGCTCAAAATCAAGCTTTCACGCACGGTTTCAACACCAATTCCGGCCAACCCTCCAACTCCGACTTCCACACTCAATTACAGGCCCTAATTCTCATCAATGCGAGCAGTTTCATGATCCCATATCACCAAGAAACGTTTTCAATCAAGCTCAGTTCCATACCACTTTCTTGGCAGCGAACCAAGCACATTGCAGCTCAAATTCTGGCGCCGATGTGCAGAATCACGATCCCTCACCACCACCATTACCTCCTCCTTATTATGGCGAACAACATACATATATGGGTCTTCGTTAATTTAGCTCGAATCGTACTGGCCAATCATTTTTGCAGGTGGACCTTGTGACGAATGTTGGAGCTGCAGTAGCAGTTGCTACCTCTGCTGGTGGCGCTAGTGCTATTGCTGGTTAGGAGAAGACGGGAGCCCAAGAGAAAGGGAGAAGATGGCAGCCTAGGCAAAATGGAGAAGACGACGGAGATGATGATATGATGGCCTCTGTTTTTGTATTAGAAGGGTATTCAATTTTGTC